AATGAGCTTTACTTTGGAGATTGTAGAGCTTTTCACGGAGCATCTAGTGATATATTTTGTTTTTTAATACAACGTATTAAGTGATGAAAAATTGAAATGCAAAATGCCGCCGTTTAATCTGCTCCATCTGTTATTCTTTGAGAACCAAAAATGCATGTAACAAACTTTCTTTATTGATGCTCTGACTTCTTGAGCTAGAAACTTTATTTTTACACAATAACTGCACTTTGAAATGCATTTTAAAATGACTATTTATTTGTTGAAATTGCTCAAGTAGTAGGAAAGATACATTGATAGGAGAAATACTGCGAACTTTTTTCCCACGCCTTACTTAGTCTGCAACTGTCATTACAAACATTGTAATGCTCAATATGAATTTGTGTAAAATAATTACCATAGCTTTAGATACATAACTTCTGATAGAATTCTATTTTTGTGTTAAACAATTATGAAAAGTTCGAATTACAATACGAAATATTTTACTCTTTCGCATCCGTCCATTATCATTTTGTGTCAGCAGAAAATAAAGAGAAAAAAAACATGCGAGTAACGAAAGAAAGAAAGAACAGAAAAAAAAGAATATATCATAGGAAAAGAAAAGGCTGGAATGACAACGACCAAACAAGAGTATTCGCGAATATTCTACAATGAACTGGCTTTCAATCACTCCTCCTATATATATATATGCGCGAGTACATAGGTCTAATCAGATATTTTATACATTCAACTGCGATTATCAAACACTCTCAACATTTCTCTTCCACTTACAAAGCAATGGCATTCTTTCCAATTCATCGTTATCGTCTTTTCGACGATCCATTTGATCTATTCTTTGGTGATCAATTAGATTTCTTTGATCCCTGGTATGATTTTGATACATTTCCATCAGCACTTTCTATTCGACCAAATGCATTTTGATGGATCAATGAACCACATCGATTAACACATTCATCAACTAATAAATCAAAGGATGGAAAAACTCTTACACCAACAATACGATCACCAAATGCTGAAAAATATCGTGTACAATTGAATGTAGCAGGTTTCAATCCAGAAACAATCAAAACTAAAATGGAAGGTCGAAAAGTAATTGTTGAAGCTAAACAAGAAGATCGTCAACCTGATGGTGATTATAATATTCGAGAATTAAGAAAAACATATGAATTACCTGAACATGCTGGTAAGTAACAGTGTTTTTAATAGGAAGCTGAAGCAGAGTGCCTTTTGGTACTTTGAATGTATAGTCAAAGTCCCATTTGGTACTTTGTTTTGAATGACAAAGTACCACAGATAGTGTTCTGCGTGATTGATATTTTTGATCACGATCCCAATCACGAGCAAAACAAGGTCGTGAATCACGATCACGAATTGTTTTTTCAACTATAACTGCGATAACGATCACGATCACGAATTTTCTCAGCTCAGATTCACGGTCACGATCACGATCACGAATTTTCTCAGCTCAGATTCACGATCACGATCACGTATTTTCTCAGAACAAATTCACGATCACGATCACGATCACGTATTTTCTCAGATCAAATTCACGATCACGATCACGAATATTCAGAGTGTTTGGAGACAAAAAAATCTCATCATTCTGACATGACACCTGTCTCAGAGATTGGCAGCTCCGGCTCGAGAGCGTCCGCTCCATGAAGCTGGTCCAACCATGCGTTCATTTTTCTCTTTATTATTCTGTGAGCCAAGATGAAAAAATTAGTGAGAAAAAAAGCTCGTCACTGACTATGCACTGCAATGAATATACTATTATTACACTTTAATCGACGGCAATGATTGAGACAATGACTGACCGTTCATTTAGTTGGTTGCTCTCCGCCTGATTGCGCTGTGCTATTGTTGGTGTGAAAATGTACGAACATGACGTCGACGAAAAAAGAAAATTCAATGATTTAAAATGTGTGATAAGTGAGCGATGATGGAACAGAATAAAATTTCTCATTTAAGTGTAAGTTGAACAAAGAAACTCTTCTATGTCAGAACAATCATATAAACGAATATAAATTACTAATAAATATCCGATCGATTTCTTCATTAATACTTAAGAAAATATATTTAAAGATATAAAAATCTTTAACTTCTGTCCGTTTTTAAAATGTCTACTACTGATCCTACTCAATTTAATAAAAGAGATATTGAACGACTAATTGAAGAAAACAATACGTCAATATCATATGCAAAACCAAAAGAAACTCAAAATATGTCCAAATGTTGGTCTCAATTTAGTCAAATCTACGTTGCTAACATTAAACAAGATTTTATTATTTGCGATTTTTGTGAATCAATATTAGTTTATAAATCATCAACAGGATCCGGTTGTATGATATCTCATTCACGTTCCTGTAAATCTAAAGAAAAACAATCTGATTCATCCGACCAACAACGAAAAATTAATCATTATTACAAATCAACATCAAGTGGCAAAAACAACATACCAAAACGGATAAAAAATGATATCACATCAGCTTGTGTTGAATTCGTAGTTCAGGATGGTCGAGCATTTCATTTATTAGAAGGATCTGGTTTTATTCGTTTAGCCAAACAATTGTTTGATACGGGTAAACTTATGTCATCAACAACGAATATAGAAGTTGAAGATCTGTTGCCTGATTCGACTACAGTAAGCAATTTCTATCACATTCAAAGAGATAAATTTTTAACAAAGATTGTTTTATATTAGATTAGTAGAAATATTGATCGAATGTATGCTCATTATAAAAAGCAATTGATACAGCTCTGCAAATCAATGGATAACTTTTGTGTAATAATGGATTTTTGGACCGAGTCTTATACTGGTAAGATAGACATTTCCATCGCAAAAAAGATTGCTACTTTCTAGTTTTTCATGAAGGTTTGTCCTATTGTGGTTTATTACTTACTCATGTTGATCCAGAATTTCAATCGCAAGCGTTTTTACTTGGTTGTTTTCCGTATGAAATGGAAAACAAACGAGCACCAACTATTCGATCTTTTGTTGATGATATACTTCATAGTTTTGGTTTGAAATTAGATGAAGAAAAATTTGTTATGAGTGACAACGAACCGACCATGAAATGTACATTTAATTTAAATTGTAAACGTATTGGCTGTAGTGACCATTATCTCAACAAGCAATTACAACATGCTTTTACATCACAAATGATCGATGGAGAAGATGTTAACTGTGAATTAGCTCAAGAAATGTTTGATGATGTTAAACATACTGTTTCAAGTGTTCGTCGAACGCACAAACAACAAAATTTGTCGAAAAAATTAATTCTATATTCAGATACACGTTTTAGTGGTGCCTATGTTATGTTAACTGTATTTTTAAATGTCTTTGATGAATTAGATAAAATTCTGGACTCAAAATTATTAATGGTTTATTCTAGAATTGATAAAGATCTTTTATATGATATATGTCAATTTTTATTTCCATTTGATACTGTTCTTCAAACCTTAAGCGACAGTAAACGACCAACGCTTCATCGTGTATTGCCATTCAAGCAATTCTTAATCAACAAATGTAATGTTAATAATAATGATAGAGAAGGTTTGAAACAATTGAAGTCTTTTTTGGGTATGAACTTCGAAAAATAATAAATTTCAATCCTGATATTCTATTAGTTTTCTAGGTAAACGGTTAGATGAAAAATGGGAATTGCCTAATGAACACCTTATTGCAACATTACTTCATCCAAATTTAAAACATTTCCATATGTGTCCTCATCTGAAAGAGCGTGCAATATGCTTATTAAAGGAAGAAATGATGAAATGTCAAGAAAGTGCTCAATCTAAATGTACATCATCTTCAATATTTTTAATACCATCGTCATCTTCAATACCATCTTCATCTTCAATATCTTCAATACCATCGTCATCTTCAATACCATCTTCATCTTCAATATCTTCAATACCATCGTCATCTTCAATATCTTCAGCCTTATGTTCATCATTATCAACATCTTCAATGTCAAGTTCATCGTCATCAAAGTCAACTTCCATTACTAATTCTTCTGCACGAAAACAATTATTGATGGCAATATATGATCAACAACTTGTAGTACCAGAAAAAAGTTCTGTTGAACAAGAATTAGAAAAATATCTTACATCTACGTCCATGGTACGAGATGAAGAAGAAGATGACATACTTGGATATTGGAACGAGCATCAAAAGTTATTTCCATTAATTGCTTCAATCGCTCGCAAGATACTAGCTATTCCAGCTTCAAATACAGCCGTCGAACGGCTATTTTCGTCGTGCAAAAACACCATCACAGACAAGCGAACAAGGTTAGGTAGTGAAAAATTGAACAAGATTATGTTTTTACAGAAGAATATGAATATATTAAAGGAAAAATTTCGTGTTAATTTTGCTGTAACAAATGATGATCAGAACACAAAACGAAAATATGACACAACCATTTTGAAGGATCAATCAATACAAAAAAAGATGAAACTGCACGAAATGGTAATTGATCATCAAGATGATAATGAATATTTAGTTAATAGTGAAAGTGATGATGAGCAATAAATGATGTGATCATATGATTTTCTTTTTTCTCAGTTTTGTCTTTGTATAATAGTATTTGATAAGTTTATGTATTTTCTTTATTTTTTTGTTAAAATAGTATATTAAATGTCAGAGTTTTTTGTGATTTCAATATGAACATTAAATTTATGAATAAATATTTGATATTTTGAACGTATACATATATATATACATATGTTTTTTGTGTATTTATGTTTATATATATATTTATGTTTATATATATATTTATGTTTATATATATATATTTATGTTTATATATATTTATATTTATATATATATATTTATGTTTATATATATATTTATGTTTATATATATATTTATGTTTATATATACTACAGTCGTGAATCACGAAATATTAGATTCGATCACGATAACGACCACAAATTTTTTTCTCAATCACGATCACGAAAAAAAATCCTTTGCCACTCACGGTCACGGTAACGACTTGAAAAAAAAATTTAATCACGCACGATCACGATCACCATCTGAAAAAAAAATTTTAATCACGCACGATCACGCTCACGCGTGATCGTGATTCGTGATCGTGACCGTGATTCGTGATTCACGCAGAACACTAACCACAGAGTACCAAAGTTGAAGAATGTGTCAAGAAAAACAGAGGCGAAATTATTACTATTGATATATTTTCATCATAAAATAGTTCTGTAGAAAAAAAACGATACAAAAGAAGAAAAACACATAGATAACAATAAAAATAAATGGATAGTTGCATGGGATGTCAAACACTTTACACACAAAGGTTTCTGAAAGGTTTTATTTATACCTCATTTGCTAGGTCTCTATGAGTTATGTATA